AATGCATTAAAACCCGCTCAATAATTGGCTTGACTTTTGAGCATGTTTGCTGGTCGAGCACAGGGGAGAAGCGAGGGATGGAGGTTTTTTTTTCGGAAACTGAGCTAGATTTGGAATCTACAAGGCTTCAGCTTCCTAGCGCTTTATCCTAACGAATGTAAAGTCCTCGTTATAAAGGGAGAAAAATGAAATTCCAATGGAATTTGCACTCGTCTCTTCCGAGGGTCATAACTCCTTCCAAATTCCAGGATGTAGGACATGGCAAAGAGATCAAGAAAATCAAATTATCCACTCTTGAAAAAACACTGAATTTCTCTCAAACAATTACTTAGTGAAGGAGTAGCACATTGGCACTTTTACGAGTTTTCAACATTCAGACGGTCACAACTTTCTTACAACCCATAATATCGAACAGCTAAAGCAAGCACGATGAACTTCATGATTTGAGCTTTCTAAAGAGCGCTGGATCTTACCCAAAAGGTCAAAAATCCAAAAAGTAGCCCTGTTGAGACATGTTTGGAGGGCACTTTTCGAGGCATTCCGTTTAAAAGGTTAGTTTTCAACGTTCCACAACTTCCTTCAAAATCAATTTTGTGTAAAAATGTGAGTGTATCGGAAAGCTGGGAACATGCGCTTCCAAGAATTATCAAGCTTAAAATGTTTCTTTCTCTCCTCGCAAAGCCCATTCTTCACTTATTGCAATTACCGGCACTCCAGTTCACTCTAGAAGCATCAGTCTCTCTCTCTCTATCTCTCAAGTCATCTCTCTACAACGGTCCAAGAGCGGCATACTCTTAGTCATGGCATGGAAGTTGATGCGAATAGTTTTGCTGTGGCTACAGCAAAACTATTCGCATCTCTCTAAAACAATTTTTGTTGCTGATAACTTGAATTTAATGAGCTTTGCAGTGCCTACTCCTACCATAGTATGCGCCGCGTCAGCGCCGTGCTTCTCATTCGCTGGTGCATTTCAAAGCCGATATTATTACGATTCTCACTGATGATCAGCTTACGACCTCTCCCAACCTCGTGGCAAAACACGATACCTCTCGATAGTACTTTCACCAGCAAACGGTTGACCCTGACTGGAACTTCCTAAAGAGGGGAGAAAAAGTGTGAACGCGACCGTTGACCCTGCCTCGACTCCAGCCCTAACATTTCAAGATAATAATCGAAATAATAAATAAATAAAATATAAATAAATAAATAAATAAATAAATAAATAAATAAATAAAATAAAATAAATAAATAAATAAATAAATAAATAAATAAAAATAAATAAATAAATAATAAAAATAATAAATAAAAATAAATAAATAATAAACATAATAAATAAGTCGTCAAAATAAGAAGAGCTATGAATGTAGTTATTAGAACCGCAAATTTACAAAAGCTTTGCATCAGAAAATTCTAATTTTCTCCAGAAATATGACCCCATTGCGTGAAGTACCTTCTATTGCCATGTCAAAAAATATGTCTCCCTGTTTAACTAGGCTAGAAAGGCTCTTAAATTCTATGGAACTGGCTCCACTCACTCGTGTGCGTTTGAAGGTGTTTTCAACATGTGGAAATGCCATTTGAAGGACGAATTCACGCTGGGAAGGCAACCCATTTCAAATTAACTCAGGAATGGTGATTGGTACACGAAAGAAGGAAGAACCTATTGGGGGAAACGTCCAGAAGGTTAATGGCCTTCCCCCTGATTTGCGCATTGATGAGACTCTTATCGCTGTGCCCCTCCTCAACATCACGCTCTCTCTGCTATCTAATCAATCCCACGTATAGATCTGCGGCGAGTGATCAGCTGGTCGGTGGGCGGAGATCGCCAGACCCGCCAACTTTGAGGCATAATAGGTCGCCGAGGTCAAATTTTTCGATGCGAATTGCGCATCAGTTCGCACCCTCAGGAGGGTCCGTGGCTATTCAACTAGGTGAATTACTTCTTCCTCGACCTCCATTCTAATCGTAAAATCCTCCTTTAAAAGGGCAAGATAGGAGCGATAAGATCTAGAATTTTTTGCGACCGAATGTGTCCTGCGTGGCTGACCGCATAACACAACAATATGTGTATATGCGAAAACCCAGAATAAAGGCTATCTATACATTGTTTTGAAGGAATATATTCATACTCGAGGGTAATCTGCTTGATTCGCAGTAGGATTGCTTTCTAAATTTCATCAAGTGAAGGAAGAACTGCTAAATATGTGGAGCTCACGCTATTGCACGAGGCCTCGAGCCATGAGGTCCGCGACCAGCAACTTCAAGGGAGTTATTTCTCGCAGGGTCGGTGAGGAGGTAAAGAACCGGACAAGCAAAACTTTCCCATTATTTCAATTCAATATTACGGCACGTCTGTCCATTTTGTGTTGAAGTTTGGGGACCGCCATACCTTCCAATGCGAAATGTAAATGCCGGTCATACATAGAAGCGAATTGCCGTAAGCTGGCATGGTCCAGTTGCTCCGTTGTTCTGAACATGTAGGGAGTACCTCCACAAAGTAGCACACATTAGCAAAAGTATCTCGAAATAAAAAGTAAGTCTTCAGGTAAAGCTCGTTACATCCTCCTTAATAACGTTTTGAAGTCCACGACAAGGTCTCGCAAGTTACTCATGACTACTCATATGCCGGGGACTGCAACGAAAATAGAGCTTTATCGCCCGAACGTGGGGTACCATGGCTAGGGCCGAATCGCTTAGGAAAAGCTGGAGTCTCAGGGCTAAAACTGTGAGGCGTAATCGTAGGATAACAGTCTTCACTCTCAACGCACTGGCGTTTAACGAAAAATGAACAATCCGACCTATTATGCAGCGTGGTGCCCTGATGGAATCTAGCGATTAACATTTGATAATCAGAAGATGTGCCAGGCACCTGGCGCCTGATGTCTGCTTTCTTTCAACTTGCCGTGCACAGCTAACAATTGCGCAAGAAGACGCTCACCTGCTGCTGCTCTTCCTTTGCTTCAGCGAGTGGATACTGTAAAAAGGGATGGAGGCGAAGAAACTGAACTCGCTACCGTTCTAGCCTCATAGTGATCACCTTTTCTGGATACTCTATATTCAGCATTTTTAATCAACGCACACTGCAATACCCTTGTCAATCGACACATAAGAATGAATAACAAAAAGTCACCTGTAATAACTCAAACGGCTGCCCAGCTTTCAATTTCGTGCGGGTTTTATAAAGGACTTTCTGACAAAAAGGTCATCAGGCCGGTCTGGCCATTTGTGATAAGCTCTAGCGGTGCACTCGCTTCGAGACGCTGAGCTCAAAACTGTCTTCCCGATCTGCTAAACGATTTTTTGAACGGAGTTATAAAGCAAGGAAGCGCAGCGGTAGTGCCCTGTCTCGCAGGCAAGAGGTTGTGGGAACTGCTCGCAAACTCTTCATACAGGCAATGGCAAGTGTTGATAAATTAACGAATTTAGAAGCTTTCTGCCACATTGACATTGAAAAACAAAGCAGGCTCCTCGAAAAACCGTTCCCACCACCTCTTGCCTGCCCGGGGCACTACTACTACGCTTTCCTGCTTTATAACTCCGTTCAAAGAACCGATTAGCAGATAGTGAAGGCTAAAGGCGAGTGCAACTGTATACAGTTCACTGCAAATGACCGGACCGATCTGACGTCCTTCCCTGGTGAGCTGATATAGCTGCTGGCTTCTATTATCTTTGCCTTCGAATTCCCTTACCGAGCTTGCAGGATGTTGGCTGTCTCGACGCGACCAGAGTGAGGCTAGAATATTATGGAGGTGATGACTATATTCATGCTAACTATGTAGGTACACCAACCAGTTCGAGAAGGTTCATTTGTACTCAGGTAAGATCTGCAAGGTATCAGAAGTGAGGGTAGCTGTCGATGATGTTCTGTATTTGAGGCCCCAATGGAGAAAACTTGTAAGGAGTTCTGGTTTATGTGTATGCAAGATCATGTCGAATTCATTGTTATGTTGTGCAATTTTGTTGAAAAGGTACGGCATCAAATTTCTAATGTTCTTTTCAGTCGCCTTCGAATTGTTCCATTCAGGGGGCGAAAAAATGCTTTGAATACTTTCCCACGAGTGGAACTATGACATTCGGTGAGATCACAGTCGCATATGCTGGATCGACAATGGTTAGTTTGAAGTACTGCATTGCAGTACGACCTAAATTCTGATTCTGTTCTGAACGCAATAATGTGCGCAGTTACTGTGAATTTGTGACTCGTGAATGCAAAACGAAGTCCATTTCATTATACGGGTGCGGCAAAATAACTGGTGCACCTATTTTTTGGTTTTCATTTCAAAAATTCTTCGTAAATCAAATCTAAGTGTGAATATTATTCACTACAAATATGATAATCTAGAAAAATTGTGGCGGTTCACAAATCGTTCCCTTTTACTTTGAAGCATTTCCGCGGACGTCTAACGGGCACTCCGCCTGCAAAAGGCTAGTGCTTGCAGGCCAGGGTTTAGGCTCGATTCATGAAAGTTTATCTCGAAATGATAACCAAAGTAAAAGTGGGCCAGTAATTTTGCTCAGCCCTGTACAGGCGCCATCGGGTCGGTCTGAAACTTGAAAGGAGACTCCCAACTTGGAAGCAGTGCTTCTAGGAAGGCATTCCCTTCAAGGCAGCGATTACGATAGGTTTAAAAGGGTTAGAGAAGACGTGGTGGTGCTCAATGGTACGCCAGTGGCGAAAAAAGCAGAGAAATCCGTCAAGAAAACGCAAAACGGGACCCCTTTTTTGGCCGTTGGTTTTCACTCATGAACAGGTAACAGCTCAGAAAGCGGACGTATGAACGAGTTCACCGCAACGCGTTTGGTGGCACCATGCCAAACCACGCTCCAATCGAGTTGCTCCAGTTGTGCCGCTGCTGGCAACGCAGCTCGTCCAAATCACCAACTAAACTAGTGGGCGGATCGCTTTTGGGGCGGAGTGCTTTCGAAGTCCTGCTCAGCAACCAGCGCACCTTTCGTCGTGAAAGCGCCACACCTCGCTTCCCTGGCAGCCAAGTAACTGATTCGTGTGGTGCATATGCTTCCCGATGCGCTCCCTCTTTATCGTAATCGCTTCCTTTAACCAAAGCTGCTTACGACCATTCTGACTTGATGATCGCTTAGTATTTGGTGCTTAGGGTGAGTGATTTGTTTCAGATGCGCTTCACTTGTCCGACGAATGCACAAGTGCGAATAACCACGCTCATCGTTGAACGCGGTGGAACAGTAAGTTTCTAAGAATCCACTCTCGTTCCTTTCTGTGAAATGAGAGTGTTTTTCACTAAAACATGAGAAGAACAAGAGAATACTTTCGCCTCTAAACAGCTTGCAATTTTTTATTTGAAAAAACGGATCATATTTATGGGGCAACAGTGGTCGAGTATGAAATTGTGGAGCCGAGCTGACTAAAAATGAAAAAAGAACCGAAGCAAATCGCCGATAAAGCCATTGTCAAGTACACCCTCTCTCCCTCCTTAAATTAATGCTAAGGAAGGAGTGGGCCGCAGTTGTTGAATGAAATTGCTTGCTAAATGGCTTCACTAACCGCGCGTATTTGAATTAGCCGCTACACTGTAATCATGTTGCGTGTCATGGGGTGTGCGCGAGGTATCTCGTCCATAAGCTCACATTAGTCGCCATTGCTCACTTTGTAAGGCCCTAGCGCCATTGTCGCGCATTTTCGAGCCGCGACAACGGCACATCTGTGATACTGGTGGCAGAACTATTCCACTCACACAACAGATTCTTCGACGCGGACTCATATGGGATTGTTGCTTTTAATCGAACTTCTTGTCAGCTGCACAGTTAGTTCAGGCTGGTGGGATGGACCGCGATCGAGTTAGCTGAATATACTGCTTTGATATGAAGGCTGCAAATTGGAGCACCAGTGAAGAAAAAAGGGAAGGAAATTGTAGAGAAAACCATGACTTTTCTAAGGTGTGAAGGGCCCTCATAGATGAAGGCACTAGTAGACAGTTGAATAAGTAATACTGGGCGCCGATGCGAAGGGAATGACTTGCGTAAACGTGAGAACATAGCGGGGAGCGACTAGAAACCGTAACGATGGACGCAAGCTGGTCAGGGTTTACACTGGTTTATAGTTTAGGCAATTCCCGCGCTTTCTACGTATTTAAAGTTGTGCAAGTGGCATTACTTCTGCAACTGCGGGCTCGTCAACTTCATTCGCGTCTTCCACCAAAGCACCCAACACTGAGGGAGGAGTGTGTGCCATCAAATAAACTCAAACTCCTTTGTGTTTCTGACGGAGTCACATTCACATATACACCAAATATTCAACTAAATTCTAGAAAATGAGAACAAGACACCTTCACTGGATTGACTGGCCGGACCGCGGAGTGCCACCAGCCGATACGGCGATCATTCAAGTATTGGAAATTATCAAAGGCACTCAGTAAGCTTTCGTTCTGTTCTGCCAACGTGATTCTCTCTCACCATCCCACTCTCAGAGCGCCAATTGTTGTTCACTGCTCGGCCGGAGTTGGCAGGACCGGCTCAATGGTTCTTATCCAGTACATCCTGGAATCCATCTCTTTGGGAGGACCCTTCGAAGAAACTGATAAAGTACTTCTGAAAATAAGATCTCAACGAGCCAACACAATTCAGGTGAGTTTATGGTTTCGTGTGTGAATGGCATTCAACTAAAATTTGTGCTTGTTTCAGACTGATCAGCAGTACTTGTTCGTCCACATGGTCCTACTCAACTACTTTGTTGAAAATCAACTGCTAGACCCCAGATGGAAGCCATTCCTCGACCGGTTCACGAGAGAGTACAACAAGAATGTCTTCTGAATTCAGATTTCTCTAGTTCACACCTGAGCATTAATGTGATTGATATTAATTCGATCTCTAGCCTTTGAAAAAGCATTGTTTATTTCAATGGATTCAATTTCTTATACATGTAATGATTAAATCAATAAACCGACTGTTGGAATTTGATATGAATTCGTTTTTGTATTACTAGTAGTTCGTAAATGAACATTGTCTGCGTGTGTACTGCAATAAAGCGTACTTGATCTCGATTCCAATGTCCTAAGAAGAAATCGACTATTCGCTGGCTCCATCGTGCTTCGGGTCAGAATCATAATCTGCACTGACTGAGCGCAAAATGGACAAAGTATCAAAGAAGATATCAAGAAACTGTAAGAAAACTAGAAAGGAATTCGTTACCTTCTACAGACACTGCCCCTAGAGGAGGG